GAATATACTGGTGAGAAAAGCATATTATAAAACAGTACAAAAAGTAAGATACTGTTTTGAAGGAAACACACACATGTACATATATATATGTATTTTAAAGAGAGTTTTTTTGTGACTGTAATGATCTTTCTTTGAAACTTTTATGCTTTCTCTGAGAGCATGCATAAGATTCTGCTTACTGAACAAACACAATGAAGACCTGTAGCAGAGAATGTTCATCACAGAATGTTTTATGCAGAATTTTTTACACCCTTGCTGCCTGATTTCTCCATCAATTCAACTGACCCCCTCAAAGCATGAAGTTGTGACTGTAATATTTGGCAGCTTCTGGCTCCTCAAGGTCCCATTATTCAAACCTTGATCTCTGGCCTGTACTCATTTAACTTCTGATTACAATTTATTTAATAACCATCCCACATCTGCCTTCCTTTAATTTCTGATTATAATTCATTTGTTTGTAAAAACTCACTACAGGCAAAGGTATGGCCTCAGATGAACAGGTTTCCCTAACAAGAATTTCAGAACCAAGTCAATGTGATTTTCCTTCCCTATAACCTATAGCAGAAAAAGGAAGAAGGACCATCATTCTGCTCAATGAAATGCTGCTGATCTAGCCTGTGCTTTAATTTTTTTCAAGGGTTATTATCCCTTCCTTCCTTATTATTTATTAACATCTCCTCTCTTATGGCTTGTTTACTTAAAAGGAAATATATCCAACTTTTTTGGGGGTGAGTACAGTGCACCAACTACATTTTTTAGCATCATGCTGACACATGCTCAACTGGAAAATTATCCCCATCTCAACTGCTTGTCTTAACAGATCAATGTGAATGTAAATGAAGGAAATGAATGAATAGAGATTTATATTTTTATCAAAGGAAAAAAATGTACAAAATAAACTGAATCCGGTGTCCTACTTATCCAGTCTCAGATGCAGTGCCTGGGTTTACAGAAACAAAGCTCAGCTCTCTAGCAGAGGAGGACTCAAACTCATCTTTTCACTCTGCCTCATCTCTATTTTTTATCCTAAACAGATTCTTGGGCCTGCCGTGTTTTCCTCAGCCTGCTGGTTTGTTTGACATTTCTCAAGGCTCAACCTCCAACACTGGCCTTCTGCCCAGCAATACTCCTGCCCAATGACCAGTTTGCACTCTTAACTCCTGGGTTTTCCAGGCCTCACAAACTTGATGATCTCTATTGTAATTTCTTACTTCCATCTTACTGCACAGCAGACAATACCTGCAAGTCTTTGCTATAGGACCAAAAAAATTCATCACCTTGACCCCTTCTCCCAGGCATTCAGCCACTTTGCTAATCTACTAGAGGCCCACTGAATGTATTTTGTGTCACCAGAACCATTCTATATGTCACAGCGAAATAGAAAATAAATCTTAATATGGTCACTAAGAAGTTACAATCAATTTGAGGAGCCCTGAAATTACAGAGTCCAATGCTAATGCAAAGATTGACAATCAAATGGTTAACCTGAATTTAATGTTATAAACACTAGCTGGCAATCAGCTTGGGACCAATTAGAAATACTGAGAATTAAAACAAATCAATTCCATTGAATTTATTTCAGATCATATGGCTGACAGCTAAGTGCCTTGTGGTAGAATTTTTTCCCATGTTAATATAACCAGTGGATAAGTTTCCACGAATCTCAGTGCCTGGAGCAGTGGTTGACAAGTCCTATAGGTGCGAACACTAGGAAATACATTTTGGGGAGAATGAATGGCAGAAAATTATAGCTGTACTCAGTGGAAATGATGGTAGATTTAGTTCACTCTTAATTAACAATTCAATATAGTTTACAGTCAACTTCCCCCTCCTTGTTCCCACCAAATTCACCAGGCAGTAGTTACTTAGACAATGAGGTACAAGATTTTTTAAAAGTTTAAAGTTCTGTGATATTGGTAACTGTATTCATAAGTAGTATTGCTGATTTTGAGTGGAAAATAGAATCACATATGGCAAAAGCTCTTCTGTTTGGGATGCAATGTTTTTAGTACTCTTTGGGACCCTTAAATCTTCAGAACAATAATTTTGTGACACTTTTGTCATTGGTGACATTAAGTGCAGAATCACTTATGGGATTCATCCATGATTCAATGACCATCCTGACTGATACCACATGTACAATTAGAGTGTATAGAAATGTCATATAATTATGATGATGGTAAAAAGGAATATAGCTGTCTTTAATGGAGTATTTATTCTGTGCTAGTTGCATGCAGACATTTTATTTTAAATGTAATCATCAAGTTAATAAAGGAAGGGGACACTGGAGATCTAAGACACTATACTCGGTCATTCATTTTTTTTTTAAGATTTTATTTATTTATTTGACAGAGAGAGACACAGCAAGAGAGGGAACACAAGCAGGGGGAGAGGGAGAGGGAGAAGCAGGCTTCCCGCCGAGCAGGGAGCCCGATGTGGGGCTCGATCCCAGGACCCTGGGATCATGACCTGAGCCGAAGGCAGACGCTTAATGACTGAGCCACCCAGGCGCCCCTCATACATTCATTCTTACTGTTGCCTATGATTTAATACTGCTGTGCTAGACTCTTAGACATGGTCAGTGTTACTATTTTAGGTGGCAATGGTACCATTTCAGTAATGCCAGGATAATTAAACTCTCTTTAAAAAAACACACTTCATTTAAAATAGCTGAAGGCTTTAAAGCTCATCATTAATGGTCTGTTTCCACATTCCAATATGGCAGGCACTAGCCACATGTGGCTCTTTAAAGTTATGTTAATTGAAATTAAATAAAAATAAAAGTTGAGTCCCTCTGGCATACTATGCGCATTTCCTAAGGAACATTTCTACCATCACAGAAATTTGTATTGAATAGCAACAGATACTTTTCATTGTTTCTTATTAAAGTGCACAAACCAAGCAATCATTCATTATTTATACCTTTGGGACAAAGTATATTTAGATCCTTTTCTAAGGCCATGTTCTGATATGTAGAAAGGGAAGGGAACATGAAGGCACTGAGGAAAAATCTCCTCGACTTTTCCATTTTAAACATACTCAACTCCCATGCTATGTGCTCACACTTAGAGCATATAAATTAAGTCAGTAGATCTGACAACCCTGAAGGAAGACCCTCTGTTTCCTCATCTTATTATCTTAATTACCACTCCACTGTTCGGCATTACCAAGGATATTGGTGTGAGCGAACCTCACTTGCAAGGAAAAGATATCAGCCCAAGAACAAATGCTCTTGAGTCAAGATGGGAAATCAATCTCAGGAAGCCTGGTGGGAGTGAGACTGTCTGAATGCTCCTCTGCCTTTGGTTGATCACTCCCTCCCATGTATCAGGAACAGCACAGACCTTGGAATCCTCCATATATTATGCTTTGGTAAGTTTAGAACTTGCTGTCAAAATGGACCAAAGCACCACTTACATGTGCATACACACATAGCTCAAAAAAAAAAAAAAAAATCAAACAAACAATAACACCCAAAGAAGCCAGCAACTCTATTTGAACAGATCTTACTTTCCAAATGAAAGCAAAACTCATCACTTCCCAGGTTAGAACAGCTGAGACCCATCAACCAAGGGAAAACAATTTGTTCGGAGTAGAAGCTGTCACTGGCTATTACCACGTGGAACGTGAAGAGCCGCTGCAGACCTCCGTTCCCTGATTCAGGCACGCCTGCTCCCATTTCACTTGACAGCTGTGGACATTGGAATAATACAAAACATAACCTAATCAACAGACTGTGAAAAATCTGAAAGCTAAAGACAGATGTTCTGCTGCTATCACCACCTTTCATAGTTAATTATATTTATGTGGAGGAAAACAAGTGATAAGTCAACTCCTTTAAGAAGGCCTCCTCTGCTACTAACGGTGGGTGAGTATGGAGTTCTCTGTCAAGAAGTGGTCCTCAGATGGCCTAAATCTGAGCTCTGGTGGCAGATAAGCCTGTGCGGAATCGGCCTGTTTCATACAACAATCTACATCCATCGCTGTATTTTTAGCCACCTCATTCAACGTCTTTGTTCTGTCCCATAGTAGGCTAACAAGGTCAAATCTGTACCCAGTCGTTACTGAGTGCGGTTAGTGTACACCAATCACTGCCCAAAAGACTAAAGGCGAGTACATTTTTTCCATCTAACTTGAAAACAACCAAGGTTTCCTTTCATATCGTGAATGTATAAAGATCCCAAGGAAATCTCAGAAATGAAAAAGGAAAATGCTATATCATCTGCTCCAGTGACTGGTACCAGGAAATGGCTTTTCTGTAAGTTAATTAGGGGTCACAAACTCACTTGCCTATAGAGAGCAAATATACAAATCAAATGTCTATTTGTGTTTTTTGAATGTCCAATAGTGAAATACTTTTTAAATTGCAAGGGATCCTATTACTAGAGAATATTATCTATCTTTAATTTTTCAGTAGTGAATCAACAACAAAATGACCATTACTTATCATTTATAACTACCTCTATCAGTCTGGAGGAAAGAGTGTCTTTTGAGTACATGATATTCAGATCCAACTGCAAGATTTGAAGTAAAAACTCATGCCCTGCCATTAATTTAAGCAATTCCCTTCACTTCTGTGGAGATCAATTTTCCTGTCTGTAAATTATAATGATTTTTTTAAAATATTTTATTTATTTATTTGACAGAGAGAGACATAGTGAGAGAAGGAAACACAAGCAGGGGGAGTGGGAGAGGGAGAAGCAGGCTCCCCGCAGAGCAGGGAGCCCGATGCGGGGCTTGATCCCAACACGCTGGGATCATGACCTGAGCTGAAGGCAGACCCTTAATGACTGAGCCACCCAGGCACCCCATGTAAATTATAATAATTATACTATCCACTATTATTTAGAGGAATATTATGAGGCTAAAACAAGTTGAAAGATATTAAGAGTTCAACACAATAAAAAATATAGGTAACATTCGACTTTGATAATTATTAGCAACTACCATTTTTCTTTCAAAGGTGCTTTTTGTCTATGAAAAAAAACAGCTGCGTGTAAGCACCTCAGGATGGCCCGCACTATGGAACCAGTGGCAAAGAAGATCTTTAAAGGAGTTTTAGTAGTTGAACTCTTGGGTGTTTTTGGAGCATATTTTTTGTTTAATAAGATGAACACAAGCCAAGATTTCAGGCAAACAATGAGCAAGAAATTTCCCTTCATCTTGGAAATTTATTACAAATCCATTGAACAGTCTGGAATGTATGGAGTCAGAGAGCAAGATCTAAGCTATGTGAGATAGACACACTTGCTGGTCCTGGTAAGATCCACCCCCCCCCATTTTTACTAACAGTGACCCCTTCTAGTTGTGGGCAGCAACATTGCCAGCCCCAAGGTCAACATTCTTTTTCCCAGAGTCCCTTGCAGCAGGTGGTGGTCATTTAACAGTGCACACTGTGGCAGAACAGCAAAGTGCATGGGGAGGCTATAACAAGCAAAGCCTTTGCTTTGTCTATGAAAGGAAAGAAAGAGACTGAAAATTTCATCCTTCTTCTTTCTTTTTTTTTTTTTTAAAGATTTTATTTATTTATTTGAGACAGAGAGAATGAGAGAGAGAGAGAGCACATGAGAGGGGGGAGGGTCAGAGGCAGAA